ATATATATATATATACTCACACACACACATGCACATATTTTAACTTACAAAAGTAGCTCTTAGTCATCAGGAGCTATTTTGAGAGTTTTTTTTAGTCAAAATAAAGAAAATAAAAATTGGGGAGTGGGCGGGATGGAAGTCACCCGTGGGCCACATATGGCCTGTGGGTCACCAGTTGCCCATCCCTGTTTTAAAGGAAGGTCTTCCACAAAAATACAGGCTGCCAATTTAAAATACAAAGAGAGTAAAAACAACCCTGCAGTTTTTGGAGAGTCTAAATTTGGGCTGGTTCTGTAAAGGATGCAGAGCTGGGTCACCTGCACTTCACAGCAGTGGTACGCCATGATGAGGCCGAGCAGGATGAATGTGGATATGCTGATCACTGACTTTAGTGTGAGGGAGTAGATGGAGCTCTGTGGAAAAAACAAACACATAAAGGAAGACATGTTTTAGCTGATGACTGTCGTTACGAGCTCAGTCTTTGTGCATGTCCCTGGCCACAGGTACTCTGACCTTGCTGTAGATGCTCCAGGACAGCTCCGTCTCCATCACCATCATGACGACGCCGAATATCCCCACAGCCAAGGCGCTGTCGTTCAGCCTCTGCCTCCTCAGGAACAGGGCCCTCCTGCGGACCAGCCGCCACCCGATGTTGTGTGTCCTCCAGTACGGGTCCTTCTGGGGATCCTCCTTGTGTTTGGGGCTGAGCTGAGGACTGTGTCCGGGGCTTCTGCTGAGGCGTTCGAGGCCCGGCAGTGGGCCTTTGACCTCGCCTGGATGCGGGTCYTAATGGGAGGCCTTGTTTTGTTGCYGGACGCTGTCGTCCTTGCTGGTGATGATGATCTCGGGCAGACTCTGGCGATCGTGCATTTCCAACGAAATGTTGCCAGACTTGCGGTACCCRCGCCCATCAACATCCCTGACGTCTACGTTGGGTCTATTAGGAGGGCCCTTAAAGGGGGATCCGCAGGGAGAAATGGGCACGTCAGTGAAAGACGTGACCTTCTCCTGGAGTCTGTTGGAACCTGCYTTTTTGGCTTTGCACTGGTGAGTTCGCTCCTTGGGGCCTGGAGTTTGTCTGCACTCCCCTGACCTTTTCTCACATTTCTTCTCTTTGCTTTTAACTTTCTCTCTCCTCCGGGCGGACCGAGGCGTCGCTGCGACGTAAAGGTGGCCGTTGTATAAAGGCGTGGTAGCCAGGGCCTGGGTTCTGTCCAGCCACACGGTGTGATCGATGGACGTTTGGACCGGGTGGTGGATCCCACACTGCGGCGTGTAGACCTGAGACGGAGCGACCAGTCTTGGTGGCAGGAGGGGTCGATGCTCCTCCACGTCATCTCCATCGATCCTCGATGAGGTCATTGATGGTGAATGTTCCATGTCGACAGGATTCTTTTTAAAGAGGTTTTAACAGAGAAGAAAAAATATTAAACTATCGACGTTTGGYACAGATGGCAACAGCAGTATGAGGGAAAATTGCAACTAAAGTGTCACTCATGAGAAGCTTAGTGACAAGACATTTCCTGCTTTTTTCACATCTATAAGGTTTTAATCTTTCATACATGACTTTAATTTATAGCAAGTTGAACAAACAGCAATGTGTAAAATAAATAAAATGTCTCTTCCACGTTTATTCTTACCTTAATGTGTGAGCTCAGGTCTAAAACAGTCCACTACGAGGATTAAAAGCAGCTTTATCTGAAGGATTTCAGCGCTGGGTCTCTTCGTCCTGAAGGTCACATCTGCCTGAATTCCAAAAATCTTCAAGTAAACTCCTTAAAAAGGCTCAGAAGCATCATCGTAAAAAAAGGTCAACTGTAAAGGCAAAATAACTGAAAAATCAATGAGGTCACATCAAAATATTCCCACTGTCCGCTCCAGTCGAGTGTGAACTTTCTAACAATCCAAGCGCAGCATCACAGAGCTCCTCCCATAGGTTCAAGTGAAGCTTAGAAACTTTCCCCAAACAGGACGAGATGAGTAAATATTCACTGATATCCATAACATATTCAGACATGTATTCAGTTCTTGCTGTTTTTTTCTTCCCTTTATAGTTTTTTCCCACAGTCAGGCCATCTTCCTTCAAGCTGGAGGGGCTTAATGTCTGCACAGACTCTAAGTTGCAGATGTTGCAAAGGCAAAGACTCGGTCATCTGTCAGAGTATTTTTTTTTTCCGGGGATTGGCAGACGTCATCCTGCCCTGCCTATGTGTGTGTCTGTGTGTGGATGTGTGGAGGCCTGGGGCCAAAGCTCAAACTAAAATGAGTCTCAAAGTCAGCGCAGAAATGCTGTTTTACCCATTTCTTTATTATTGTTATTATTATTTGCAATCTTAAATTAGATTTATTATTGTCATGAATGGAGTGTGTTTCACAAACCCTTTGAACCAAATGTAATCACCAAAAGAGAATACAAAATCCCATCTATGAATTCAGCAGATTGGTATTAAAGATTATTCAGATGACTTAGGAGCTTATGGAATATCAAATATGCCACCCCGAATCGAACAATATGTACGGGGGCAGCGTGGCATATTAAGCACTGAAGTCATAACAATGACATTCAGCATCATGAATTTATTTAAATCCTGGTGACAGATGGGCCCAAAGATAATAGCGCTCCCTCCAAATGGAAAGAGCCAAGGAGCAAAGGGTGGTTGGAGCGCGGGCGGATAGTAGCAGGATAAAAAACAGCGTTATTTAATCCCAAGGCAGCATGTATTTAACGGTGGATTGACGGAGACAGAAAAGAGTGGGATGATGATGGGGGGG